TCGAGTAAATGAGCTTGACCCACTTTCAAGGGCACTGGTGTCAGATGTCTTAAATCTTCAAACAACTTCTTCTCAATAAACAAAAGGCCCAGGGTACTGATATTGGGCCTGCAGCATGCTGGGATGAAGGACTATCAAGGTTGTTCAAATAAATGACCTTGACCAACTTTCAAGGTCACAGGGGGCAAATATGTTAAAATCTTCAAACATCTTCTTCTCAATAACCAAATGGCCCAGGGTACTGATGTTGGGCATGTAGCATGCTGGGATCAAGGGCTCCCAAGTTTGTTCGAATAAATGACCTTGACCAACTTTCAAGGTAACAGGGTCAAATGTCGTAAAATCTTCAAACATCTTCTTCTCAATAACCAAAGAGACCAGGGTACTGATATTGAGCCTGTAGCATGCTGGGATCAAGGGCTACCAAGTTGGTTCAAATGAATGACCTTGACTCACTTTCAAGGTCACTGGTGTCAGATGTCTTAAATCTTCAAACAACTTCTTCTCAATAAGCAAAAGGGCCAGGGTACTGAAATTGGGCCTGTAGCATGTTGGGATGAAGGACTATCAAGGTTGTTCAAATAAATGATCTTGACCAACTTTCAAGGTCACAGGGGGCAAATATGTTAAAATCTTCAAACAACTTCTTCTCAATAACCAAAGAGCCCAGGGTACTGATAGTGGGCCTGTAGCATGTTGGGATGAAGGACTACCATGTTAGTTCAAATGAATGACCTTGACTCACTTTCAACCAAATGCACTAGGTGGTATCAATAACATGTTTCAAAAAACATTACGAAAAGTATTTTCCAACGTTTTCTATACCAACCCATTTTTTTAAAGGAAATTAGGCCATGAGCGATGTCACATGACTTGACGAGATCTCGCGTTACCGAAGGTATTTCCCAACATTATGACGTAGGCCAGCGAGATTTTAGTCATGTGACATTAGAAGGCGGGGCTACCAAAAAACTAGAGTAAAACAGTAACAGTAGGTTTGAAAAAATATGTTTTTAGTGATTGTATTGGTTGTTTGAGGCATGCTATGTATGTTGTTCATCTTGTACATAAAGAACAGATCTTTCGATCCATGTGCGAAATGTGTGTGAAAGTGACGATTTGTTTCTAAAATATCAGTTTGAAGTGCGCTCCGGGCGCGGGTCGCATATTTCCCGCATATTATAGAGGGCCGGAGTTCTGACGTTAATCGACGACAGACCGATATGAAAAAAGTCGATAAAACTTCAGAATAATTCGGACTAACATGTGTGATACGCTGTAAATTTTCATACTTTTACATGTACATCGTAAAATTTATCTAACGATAACTCGGTCAATGTTTTCAAATATCAAACTGAAATTTGGCATAAAAGTGTGTTATAGCACGGAATTATCTAAGTCCGTGGTTATAGTCATATGAATAACATATCGTCTGATGTTGCTTACTTTTTTAGATGAATTTTAGGGATATAGTTTGAAGACGCTTCACGATATGTAAATTTCTATATGCACATGTGCAACGGCGCCAATCGTAAAAATTCAATTCATCATTTCTATGTAATTTTTTCAAATATCGACCTGAAGTTTGGCACATAGGTGTTCATAGTCATATGAAAAATATATTTTCTGATGTTGCTTACTTATAGATTAATCCACGGACTTAGATATCAATCTAATCTAATTCCGTGGTTAATCTTAGAGGTAAAGTCTGAAGACGCTTCACGATCTGCGGAGTTCAATTCGCACACGTGTGCCACTCCGCCAATCGTAAAAAATAAATTCACCATAACTCGGTCGTTTTTTCATATATCTAGCTAAAATTTGGAGTATATATCAATAAAAGTCTTATTCATAACATATCCTCTGATGTCGCTTACTTTAGTAAGAGTTTTTAAAGACATTGTCTAGGGACGCTTTCTTAACTGTACAGGTTATTACACACACGTGCCACGCCGCAGATCGTAAAACTCAATTCATCATAACTCGGTCAATTTTTCAAATATCAAATTGAAATTTGATATAAAGGTGCATTATAGTCAGATTAACAACAAATCTTTATTCAGTATTTTTATAGTTTTTGTCTGGCAACATTTGTTGTCACTTGAAGACGCTTTCTATTCATTAAAAGCATTTGGTCATTTATCTCATTATACAATAAAAAATACACATATTTTTCTTAATGTTTACAAACCTCATATTTTACAGCATGTTTTTCTTTCTTCTGAGTGTTCCCTAGCTGCGATAACGTAGCTTTCTGACGACGACATTTTTTAATCGGGGCAGAGGAGGCCGGGTATTAATATTAGTATTAAGTGTCCCCATGCATCCGAAGAACTGCATCAAAAATGCGTCCTTACATTCTCGAGTTAATGCACATTGATATTATTTAAGTACAGAAAACATGATTAGTCGATTGACTTATTTGCGTTTTGAAACTGCAAGTCACATTGTATAAATGTAGACGTGCAAGTTAGCCTGCACCCCCTTGTCCCACACGCCAGAACTTGGCCAACTTTTAGCCCGATTACTAGCCGAAGAAACGGGAAAGAAGTGACTGAATAGATCGTCTAGCTCTGCAGCTATCACACTATCACATAAATTCATATACTTTAAATTGGGTGGAAGATAGGCTGCTACATGTCACAAGTTTAAACGCAGCCACTGTGTCTGTCATCTTCCGTAGCGAATGTAAACAATCTACCGGAAGTGTGCCCACCAGAGAACGGAAATCCCTGTCGCTTGGATATTTAAGTCAATTTGATTAATTATTGATATCTAAAGTGTATGATATTGTTTGAATAATTAAGAGATAGCTTTTTAGTTTCAGTAGTTACATTATATATATGTTTTGGGAATAATACAAGTTATATTGTACATTTTTGTAAAACAAGTGAGATTTCCGTTTTCGCGCGAAACAGAAATAGAATAGAAATATGACGTCTGTCAAAATTCCCGTTTTTCTCCCTTTTCATTAGCTAGAAGTTAAGGACCCAAATCCCAGCCGGCGGCTCATATAAGACGATAAACAACAAAGAAGACACACTAAAACTACAACATGACCTTGACGCAGCAGGACAATGGGAGACAGACTGGCTAATGAAATTTCACCCCGACAAATGCAACATACTCAACATTACACCGAAACGCAACAAAATACACCATGACTACAAACTCCACAACCACACATTATACCAAATAGAATCCAGCAAATACTTAGGCTTAACATTACAAAATAACCTCCTATTGGACAAATATATTAACAACATCACAGCCAATGTCAATAGGTCCCTATACTAGGTTTTCTAACGCGCAACTTAAAAATAAACTCACCACATATAAAAGAACACGCATACAAAGCACTGGTCAGACCAAAACTTGAATACTGCTCTTCCATTTGAGATCCACACAACACAAAACCAAATTAAACAAATAGAAAAAACACAACGAAGAGCAGCACGCTACGTAAACAACAGATACCACAGCACTAGCTCAGTAACAGATATGATCCACACACTACAATGGCCAACACTACAAACACGGCGCTGTCACACAAGAAGGATCCTTTTTCACAAAATTGTACACCAAATCGTAGCTATAAACCCAACATGTATACTCAAACCTGTAGACCCTCGAACCAGACATGCACACCCCCACGCATACAAACACATATGTTGAACCAACTAACTAATTAATATTGTATTTCTTGGAATTGGTTGAGCAGTTTTAATTTTCATTTTTCATTTTAGTGAGACTTTGAAATTTTAGTATTAACAAATAAATCTATGGAAATAAGATTTTTAGGTCACCTGAGACAAAGTCTCAAATGACCTATTGCGATCGCCTTTTGTCTGTCGTGCGCCCGTAAACATTTTCGACTTCTTCTCCAAAACCCCTGAACTAATTTCAATGAAATTTTGCAAGAAACCTTCCATGGCCAAAGGTCAACAAAAAAAGTGGCTGATTTGATCCCCAGTCCCCAGGGGCATGAGGGGCGGGGCCAAAAAGGGTCAAATTGACTAAAATTTCAAAATATGGTAGAATCAAATACTCTTCATAGATGGAAGGGTCTGAAGGTGCTTAACCAAAATTGTAAATGTCATGACCCTATGTTCTCTCGTTTACCCCTGGGGAGGGGGTAAACTTTACTACAGTTTATATAGGGAAATCACATTTTTGACTAACATTTGTTTAATTGACATTGGAAGTAATTCAATTTGGGTTAGCATTATCAGTATTGGATAGCAGTTTGATGGTATATATGCACATATGAGCCCTGACTGACCCCCCGGGGCTGATGGTGTGGGCCAAAAAGGGTTGAATTGACTGAAGTTTCAAAATCTTCTTCTGAAGACCCAGATATGGTAGAATCAAATACTCTTCATAGATGTAAGCTTAAGGTTTTGAGGTGCTCTACCAAAATTGTGAATTTTATGGAGCTAGGGTCTCAGGTTTACCCCTTGGGAAGGGGGGGGTGGGGGGCAACATTTATTATGGCAAATGATACTTTGAATATTTTGAGCCAGCTCTACCACCAAAGGTGCCCAAAAGAGTCGGTGTGCTAAAATTTCTTCATTTTCCTTGTTTAGAATCAGAGGTGCTAAATTTAAATACTTTTTAGTCTTAAATCTGTATGCTAGATATTGATTAAGGTTGTTGTATTGTTTTTTGTCACTTTGAATATAATACTTCTGTTCATGTTTTAAAAACAAAAAAATCAACTCTCTGTATAAATATATCAGAACTCCGGGTGACCGTTAAGGCCCATGGGCCTCGGGTATATTACCTAACAAGGAATGAAATAATAGCTGAAAATGATTATTTTTTCTGACCACTATCAATTTTCCATTGACACCTTATGTCTACTGTCTCCTAATATAATTCAGACATAATATTTGAACAACCTGTACTGTCACAACTTAATATTCTCTCTGTTTAAACTTACAATTCTGTCTCACTATCGTATGAATGTATTACTAGTATTGTAACTCTTTCTTTTGCAGTATGATCTCAGTGCAGCCCAGTTCTCTCCAGATGGGAGAGTATTCCAGGTAGAATATGCATTGAAAGCAGTGGAAAACAGTGGGTATGTCTACAATTTATTGTTTGATACCTATTATCTACCAGTTATAAAATACCTAAAAGATTTGTCCATTCTGTCAGTCTCAGTAGAGTAGTTATTAAATGTTCATTACATTGTACATGTACATTTCAAGTTAGATTTACTTAAAATTTACAGACATTCCTACTCTGCTTTTCTACAACACCATCCATTTGTTGGTGGTGAGTAAATGTTTTGCTATATGTAAATGAACTAGTGTTCAACCTATTTATGTACAGGAAATTATGGAGAAACATGTCACCCTTGTACAAAATACTAGCTGCTTCCTACTCATTCAGCTAAGGAGAATTTCTTTTTAGCTCATTAAGATTTGGTAGATTGTAAGACTATTAAACCAGAGGTCTGGGCCTCCAACTCCTAGCAGATGAAAAATGAATGATCTCAGCTACATATTTACTTTTGACCACTATCTCATGATCAAGGTTAACGTTCTCTACACATGTAGCTTAAAATTGGAAACAAACAGTTGACTGTGCTAGAATATAGATGAAAACTTCAGAGGATTCTTTTTGTAGTTTCCCATTAACACTAGATTTGTAATACCATGACAATGATGATTAGCTAAGAGAAAGTACCATTAAAAAATTCTAGAATATTTAAACTACTCCACTCCTTTTGTGAGGGTGGGTGTTCATGAATCACTAAAATAATGTCTTCATCTTGATATTATATTATTACTCTTTACATCACTGTAATACAGTATATTACATAAACTACAACTGACATTAGTTTTACCTGTGTTATATAAAGTCATATTAAATGGAAATGTAATACCAGTTAATAAACTGTTTGTGCAAAACATTATAAAAAAATATCTACTGCACATATATATTCCACTGTACAATACATTGATAAATAAAATAATGGGACAATAACATGAATTAAAGCTTTAATTAAAAAGAAATTATTTGCATTTATCAACACCACTTTCAGCATCCATCAGCCAGTTTTTCAGTTAAGTGACTTAAATAAGGTCAAAGGGAAGTAATTCTGATGCATAGATTCTCAAATAATGATCAGCTGCTAATATCTTAAAACCTTTACTTCTATATATATCTGAGTAATCAACTAGTAGTCAAATGTTGGTGTTGATTTTTGTATTAAATAGACATTTTTGTTGTTATAACCATTTCTTAGGGCACACGCTAAACACTTATCATGACTTGAGGAAAATTAAGAACGACATGTAGAATTTTCAAAATACATCTACTGTCCTTGTGTTCGATAAAATAATAAAATGTACTTCACTTAAGTTCTCTCAGTTAACTGTCAACATTTCCTGGGTTTATGTTATCGTTTTAATGTTTACATACTTGTTCATGTAGTACTATACAGTACTAGTATGTGTAATGTAGAGCAATTTTGATTTTAACTTGATTTGATTTTTTTGTTCTTTCAGAACTGCAGTGGGAGTAAGAGGAAGGGATGGAGTTGTGTTCGGTGTTGAAAAACTTGTCACATCCAAGCTGTACGAAGCTGGGGCTAACAAAAGGATTTTCAATGTAGACCAACATATAGGAGTGGTTTGTATATTATTTACATTATCTGGTACAACAAATCATATTGGTTCATGACATAACAACACATAGTTATACACTTATCTAAGTATATCTATATTACAAAACATAAAAGTGGTATTTTATTCACCTTATAACAGGTGCAAAGATTCTGCCTTAAAATGTTATCAACGGTTTGCTTTTGCAGGCTGTAGCTGGATTGTTAGCAGATGCCCGACAGGTAGTGGAGACGGCCAGAGAGGAGTGTTCTAACTACAGATATAACTATGGCTGTCCCATTCCACTTAAAGTAAGATATAGGACAACTTGTTAAACCCAGATCTTCTCAGCTTCTTATTTCGCATTTTTCTTTTTCTTCTATTTACTGCTCATACATATATAAACTTTAGATTACTACACGAGAGGTTTTTATTATTATTGAATATGAATTGATCTAAAATACTGACGTGTCGGTTTATGATTGTGTTTTGCAGCACATGACAGACAGGGTATCACTGTATGTACATGCACACACCCTAACCAGTAGTGTACGACCATTTGGAGTCAGTGCTATAGTTGGGTCATACGGAGAAGACGGACCACAGATGTATATGATCGACCCATCAGGAGTGTCCTGGGTATGTATCTATCTACAGCTGTAAATGGCTCGATACATGTGTACTTTATTTTGACATATATTACCTTTGTAAAAGAGTTTTGTACTATGAAACTGTTCCGATATGATTTTGAAGAAATGTATTTTTGGTGTGTGTTTGTATATTGCTCTACAACTACTTTCGTTTTCTTACTAAATATTAAATTGAAACCTACATGGAAACAGTTAAATGTAAGTACAGTGTAACAGCCAAACCTGATATTACCAACAACTGACTTTTAAGCACATCTTGTACTGTCAAAGCCTGGGGTCCCTGGCTTTGTTTATTTAGTCATTTAAACTGTTCTATAACATATTTATTGTAAGTACACACAAAGCTTTCTATATTTTGTTGTCAATATTATATATTAAAGGTCATCATCTTGCTTTATTACATAGGGATATCATGGTTGTGCCACAGGCAAAGCAAAGCAGGCAGCAAAGACAGAAATTGAAAAATTAAAGGTATTACAGTTTTTACAGTCAATAGACATTTTGTCTGACTTAAATTAAAGCTCAACATTGTTGTTTCGATAATGCAAAAAATATATATATAAAGTAATGTATTTTTATTTTAAATAAAACATCTCAGACTTAATATTAATAAATGTGATATTTTTGTATATATTTAAAGGTTTTTTAATTCATGTTTGATCACTCTCATTTCTAGTACAGTATCACAACTCTGTCAACACAACTTGTATTACAAAAGTCATTATAGATACAGACGAAATGTCAAAGCACTTGCAACATCAAAGTTTCTATAAATGAGGAAATGATTGATACCATCAATTGTCTCTGTAGAGTTGTTGTCATTTGGACTTTTGGTCAGTGTTTTAGTGATTGCTATTTATTACAGATGAGAGATATGCCAATACGAGATCTGGTGAAGGAAGTAGCAAAAATGTAAGATTAGAAATATCATATGGAAAAAACATGTCTTTCTGAAATCAAATTTGTCTTGCTCAAGTCTTATTTTAGTAGGTATATAAACACTCGATGTTAATATGGTATATATATTGACTGTTTAAAATGTTATGTTTGGTCTTTACAATGTTTTCCCCAGAAAGGTTTCAGGAAATGGTGTAATTGCACTTATTAAAGCAGTATTTATATTATAAGACAAAGTATTCAACAACTTAACAATAAAATGTGGGCGAAATATTTTGAACAGCAGTTAGAAATAAGGGATTTTAGTACGGTAATGCATGGTGTCACAGTCTGGGGAGTAAACTTAGTTGAGAAGTTACTGATTTGAAGAGTTCTGTAATACAATGGTGTAATTCATATTCCAGTATTTATATTGTCCATGATGAAGTGAAAGACAAGAACTTTGAATTGGAGCTAAGTTGGGTTGGAGAAGGTATGTATATCCAGTAACACTATATCCCATCAGCACACAATGACATCTTCCTTTGCTGTTATTATTATTTTTCTAAGAGTCTTCATTCAAAATTTTCCTTCTTTTCAAGACTGAAGTCAACATTTAAGTCTAAGGCGATGTACAGTTTAAGCAAGACCTAAAGGTCCTTTAAGGCGAAAGTCACAGTTGAAAGGTGAAGTTCAAACATCTTGTATGTACCTGTGAATGGAATATTCTCTTCTTCACTTGTATTTACATAGTACAAGTGTGAATGGATTCTCTTGTACACTTGTAATTACCTAGTACAGGTGTGAATGGATTCTCTTGTTCACTTGTAATTACCTAGTACAAGTGTGAATGGATTCTCTTGTACACTAGTGATTACCTAGTAGAAGTATGAATGGATTCTCTTGTACACTAGTAATTACCCAGTACAAGTGTGAATGGATTATCTTGTACACTAGTGATTACCTAGTAGAAGTATGAATGGATTCTTTTGTACACTAGTGATTACCTAGTAGAAGTATGAATGGATTCTCTTGTACACTTGTAATTACCTAGTACAAGTTTGAATGGATTCTCTTGTACACTTGTAATTACCCAGTAGAAGTGTGAATGGATTCTCTAGTACACTTGTAATTACCTAGTACAAGTGTGAATTGATTCTCTTGTACACTTGTAATTACCTAGTACAAGAGTGAATGGATTCTCTTGTACACTTGTAATTACCTAGTACAGGTGTGAATGGATTCTCTTGCTCACTTGTAATTACCTAGTACAAGTGTGAATGGACTCTCTTGTACACTTGTAATTACTTAGTACAAGCGCGAATGGATTCTCTTGTACACTTGTAACTACCTAGTACAAGTGTGAGTGGATTCTCTTGTACACTTGTAATTACCTAGTGTAAGTGTGAATGGATTCTCTTGTACACTTGTAACTACACTACCTAGTACAAGTGTGAATGGATTCTCTTGTAAAAAAAAAAAAAAAAAGTACAAGTGTGAATGGATTCTCTTGTACACTTGTAATTTCCTAGTAGAAGTATGAATGGATTCTCTTGTACACTTGTAATTAGCTAGTACAAGTGTGAATGGATTCTCTTGTACACTTGTAATTTCCTAGTAGAAGTATGAATGGATTCTCTTGTACACAAGTGATTACCTAGTAGAAGTATGAATGGATTCTCTTGTACCCAAGTGATTACCTAGAAGAAGTATGAATGGATTCTTTTGTACACTAGTGATTACCTAGTGGAAGTGTTAATTGATTCTCTTGTACACTTGGTATTACATAGTACAAGTGTGAATGGATTCTCTTGTACACTTGTAATTTCCTAGTAGAAGTATGAATGGATTCTCTTGTACACTAGTGATTACCTAGTTGAAGTGTTAATGGATTCTCTTGTACACTTGTAATTACATAGTACAAATGTGAATGGATTCTCTTGTACACTAGTGATTACCTAGTAGAAGTATGAATTGATTCTTTTGTACACTAGTGATTACCTAGTAGAAGTATGAATGGATTCTCTTGTACACAAGTGATTACCTAGTAGAAGTATGAATGGATTCTCTTGTACACTTGTAATTAGCTAGTACAAGTGTGAATGGATTCTCTTGTACACTTGTAATTACTTAGTACAAGCGTGAATGGATTCTCTTGTACACTTGTAATTACCTAGTACAAGTGTGAATGGATTCTCTTGTACACTTGTAATTACCTAGTACAAGTGTGAATGGATTCTCTTGTACACTTGTAATTACCTAGTACAAGTGTGAATGGATTCTCTTGTACACTTGTAATTACCTAGTACAAGTGTGAATGGATTCTCTTGTACACTTGTAATTACCTAGTACAAGTGTGAATGGATTCTCTTGTACACTTGTAATTACCTAGTACAAGTGTGAATGGATTCTCTTGTACACTTGTAATTACCTAGTACAAGTGTGAATGGATTCTCTTGTACACTTGTAATTACCTAGTACAAGTGTGAATGGATTCTCTTGTACACTTGTAATTACCTAGTACAAGTGTGAATGGATTCTCTTGTACACTTGTAATTACCTAGTACAAGTGTGAATGGATTCTCTTGTACACTTGTAATTACCTAGTACAAGTGTGAATGGATTCTCTTGTACACTTGTAATTACCTAGTACAAGTGTGAATGGATTCTCTTGTACACTTGTAACTACCTAGTACAAGTGTGAATGGATTCTCTTGTACACTTGTAATTACCTAGTACAAGTGTGAATGGATTCTCTTGTACACTTGTAATTACCTAGTACAAGTGTGAATGGATTCTCTTGTACACTTGTAATTACCTAGTACAAGTGTGAATGGATTCTCTTGTACACTTGTAATTACCTAGTACAAGTGTGAATGGATTCTCTTGTACACTTGTAATTACCTAGTACAAGTGTGAATGGATTCTCTTGTACACTTGTAATTACCTAGTACAAGTGTGAATGGATTCTCTTGTACACTTGTAATTACCTAGTACAAGTGTGAATGGATTCTCTTGTACACTTGTAATTACCTAGTACAAGTGTGAATGGATTCTCTTGTACACTTGTAATTACCTAGTACAAGTGTGAATGGATTCTCTTGTACACTTGTAATTACCTAGTACAAGTGTGAATGGATTCTCTTGTACACTTGTAATTACCTAGTACAAGTGTGAATGGATTCTCTTGTACACTTGTAACTACCTAGTACAAGTGTGAATGGATTCTCTTGTACACTTGTAATTACCTAGTACAAGTGTGAATGGATTCTCTTGTACACTTGTAATTACCTAGTACAAGTGTGAATGGATTCTCTTGTACACTTGTAACTACCTAGTACAAGTGTGAATGGATTCTCTTGTACACTTGTAATTACCTAGTACAAGTGTGAATGGATTCTCTTGTACACTTGTAATTACCTAGTACAAGTGTGAATGGATTCTCTTGTACACTTGTAACTACCTAGTACAAGTGTGAATGGATTCTCTTGTACACTTGTAATTACCTAGTACAAGTGTGAATGGATTCTCTTGTACACTTGTAATTACCTAGTACAAGTGTGAATGGATTCTCTTGTACACTTGTAATTACCTAGTACAAGTGTGAATGGATTCTCTTGTACACTTGTAATTACCTAGTACAAGTGTGAATGGATTCTCTTGTACACTTGTAATTACCTAGTACAAGTGTGAATGGATTCTCTTGTACACTTGTAATTACCTAGTACAAGTGTGAATGGATTCTCTTGTACACTTGTAATTACCTAGTACAAGTGTGAATGGATTCTCTTGTACACTTGTAATTACCTAGTACAAGTTTGAATGGATTCTCTTGTACACTTGTAATTACCCAGTACAAGTGTGAATGGATTCTCTTGTACACTTGAATTACCCAGTACAAGTGTGAATGGATTCTCTTGTACACTTGTAATTACCTAGTAGAAGTATGAATGGATTCTCTTAATACATATCGAATGATCCACTGAATATGTGATAAATAATATTATCAGGATGTACTGTAAAGTCTTCAATAAGATTCATCGGTTTGGAAATATGTGATATCAAAGTTTTACTTTTGATGTACTGTAATGGTTCCTTTTCTCTGAAACCTTTGAAATCCCCACTAACAACTTATTCCTTAAACCATTTTCGAAGTGTTATATTATGTCATATAAATATCAAAATTTTTTGTTATTTCGTAGTCACTGGAGGTAAACACGAGAGAGTTCCAGAGAATGTTTTCACTGAAGCAGAAAAATATGCAAAGGTAAATATGGTGTTTATATTGTTTTAGTAGAAGGATTGGATTTTGAAAGTCTTGTTGATTATAATATTATAGTACATGTTAGGATCAAAGATTTCCTTTCCTCTTGAAAACTGTTAATATTTAAAACATTTTTTGTAAAAGAAACTTTCCGGGGTAAAATAAATATTTCTGGACATGAAATTAATATTATCTTTACTGATCGAACATGATAACATACCTTGTGGTTAATGTACCTACAGGAGGCGCTCGAGGAGTCCGACGAATCAGACGAGGATCTTTGATAACCAGTGTTTATATAGGAGATCGGACAGGGATCTTTTATAGTGCTTGCACAGCTAAAAGTGACGTGAACTTCTCTGTGACTACATGTTAAAATGTGATACTGTCCCATAGGAAATCTTACCATTACAAGGAACGAACAAGAATGGGATTGCCTGAAGACTGAATGTTTGAAAATGCGATTTCCTCACACTGTAGTGCTCATTGTTTTATGAATGTCTTATACACAAGATAAGACTCATTCTCACCTTTGTCATTTAATAATGTCTTCATCATTAAATAAACTACTAGTACTTTTGAACAGAATCTGATCTTCATTTCTCATTTTGTTTTCTGGATTGAGATAGCTATTTGCAAGTATTACTGTTCTCTGGGAAATTTTTGTCAGCAGTTAAACTTTTGCCTTTCATAATGAGAGAAAATGTATTATGATAACGAATACAAGTAACCAGCAAACCACATTACATTTTGTTGTGAAATTGACATGGGACAAACAGATTTCACAGGTGAAGAGTGAGGCACAGTAGTTTAGTGGTAGGATGCCTGGCTCATGATTGAAGGGTTGTGGGTTCCAGTAACATCGAGACACTGTGTTGTATCTGTGAGCAAGATACTTTATTCCGCTTGTTCCAGTCTTCTCAGCTGTAAATGAGTACGTGATTGAGCAGTGCTAGAATTGTTGAATGCTAGCTGTGAGTGCCAAAATGGTAGCACCAGCTGTATGCTCCCCAGGGAGTTAAAAAAGATATCGGCTGGTTGCAAAGGCCCTATAACCACGGATAATAATTTGTGAACAGCTTTGAGACGACCTACGAACTAGGTTGTGATAAAGCAGTATAATAAGAACCTAAATTTANTATAACTCAGGTGACCGCTAAGGCCCTTGGGCCTCTTGTTATTAATTTGACTTAAGTTTCCATGTGGACAGTATCATAATGAAGGAATCATCCATGATGGGTTATGTAATTATAACACCTGTAATGACAGTTTGTACTTCTTTCAGTTGCCCAATTATTTAAAAGGAGAAGAAAATGCTTAAAAGCACCACTGGTCTGAAAGGTAAAATGATATTGCATAACGTCCCTTAACCCATCAACCTTTTTTTAATATTTCTCTTAAATGATTTTGCCTTTTATTTCAGTCCTATCAAAATCATGTGATTTTATCTGGCAATAAATCAAGATTACTAGGTATAAGCCAAACATGTCCAATACAGCACAAGAGAAATGTAGGCAAATGCTATTTCATCATTTCTTTAATAAGCTCCTGCTTCTTTGAGTCGGGTGTTAAGAGTTGGCCACTTAAGGTTATTAAAGGAAAACTAAGATACTGTAAATGGCAAGACAATTATGCAGAGTTTGTCTCCCTTTAATAATATGAAGTGGACCTGCAAATGTTTATGCAGGCCTTGCAAGGCTTTGCTAACGCTGGCCTGAAAGCAGCCTCAGAATACTAGGTCCGACCTTATTTCAAGAGCAACTTTGGTTCATCTGTTTGGACCGTGATACACGAATGCGGCCTAGAACCTGTCCCAATCTTTGACCCAATGGTTGGGGTGATATATGTTGATATAAACCAAAATTTAAATAGATCTACATTCAGACCCAGAAATACTAGTATCACTGTTCATTGATGGAAATGTCCTAAAGTGATATGTTGCATGTGAATTTCAGGTGACTGCTATAGGAACTAAGGACTTAGTTTATTTTAGTCAGACACACCCTGGGTACCGTAACTGGTTAGTAAGAGGTATTAAACTTCATTGAAAATCAAGGAAAATCATGGCACATGCATTGTAGTGCATCTTATACTTATAGATTACAGATATTGAAGATGGCTTACATATACCCTAATTTAATGTAATGCCTTAATTTGATATGAAGGGCAAACTCTACTCACTTACTTCAGGAAATAGATTAAAACAGAAATAGACATAGAAATTGCACAATTTTCTTTGAAATAGCACATATCTACCTGCATATCTCCATACGAAGGATGAAACATTTATCATTCTTCCTTACAAAACTTTAAATATTGCACCTATGTTCTTGTTATCATAAAGCTGAAACTGAAACAGTAGACCTTGTTAGTCCAGACACTCAGATCTAGATCAACAGTGGAACTGTATTAGTCCAGACACTCAGATCTAGATCAACAGTGGAACTGTATTAGTCCAGACACTCTCAGATCAAGATCAACAGTGGAACTGTATTAGTCCAGACACTGTGATCTAGATCGACAGTGGAACTGTATTAGTCCAGACACTCAGATCAACAGTGGAACTGTATTAGTCCAGACACTCAGATCTAGATCAACAGTGGAACTGTATTAGCCCAGACACTGTGATCTAGATCGAGAGTGGAACTGTATTAGTCCAGACATTCAGATCTAGATCAACAGTGGAACTGTATTAGTCCAGACACTCAGATCGACAGTGGAACTGTATTAGTCAAGACACTCTCAGATCAAGATCAACAGTGGAACTGTATTAGTCCAGACACTCAGATCTAGATCAACAGTGGAACTGTATTAGTCCAGACACTCTCAGATCAAGATCAACAGTGGAACTGTATTAGTCCAGACACTCAGATCTAAATCGACAGTGGAACTGTATTAGTCCAGACACTCAGATATAGATCAACAGTGGAACTGTATTAGTCCAGACACTCAGATCTAGATCAACAGTGGAACTGTATTAGTCCAGACTCTCAGATCTAGATCAACAGTGGAACTGTATAAGTCCAGACACTCTCAGATCAAGATCAACAGTGGAACTATTAGTCCAGACACTCAGATCTAGATCAACAGTGGAACTGTATTAGTCCAGACACTCAGATCTAGATCAACAGTGGAACTGTATTAGTCCAGACTCTCAGATCTAGATCAACAGTAGAATTGGTTTAGTCAAGACACTCTCAGATCAAGATCAACAGTGGAACTGTATTAGTCCAGACACTCAGATCTAGATCAACAGTGGAACTGTATTAGTCCAGACTCTCAGATCTAGATCAACAGTAGAATTGGGTTAGTCAAGACACTCTCATATCAAGATCAACAGTGGAACTGTATAAGTCCAGACACTCAGTTCTAGATCAACAGTGGAACTGTATTAGTCCAGACTCTCAGATCTAGATCAACAGTAGAATTGGGTTATTCAAGACACTCTCAGATCTCGATCAACAGTAGAATTGGGTTATTCAAGACACTCTCAGATCAAGATCAACAGTAGAATTGGGTTAGTCAAGACACACTCAGATCTAGATAAACAGTGGAACAGTATTAGTCCAGACACTTAGATCTAGATCAACAGTAGAATTGGGTTAGTCCAGACACTCTCAGATCTAAATCAACAGTGGAACTGTATAAGGCCAGACACTCAGATCTAGATCAACAGTAGAATTGGGTTAGTCAAGACACTCTCAGATCTAGATCAACAGTGGAAATGTATTAGTCCAGACACTCAGATCTAGATCAACAGTGGAACTGTATTAGTCTAGACTCTCAGATCTAGATCAACAGTAGAATTGGGTTAGTCAAGACACTCTTAGATCAAAATCAACAGTGGAACTGTATTAGTCCAGACACTCAGATCTAGATCAACAGTGGAACTGTATTAGTCCAGACTCTCAGATCTAGATCAACAGTAGAATTGGGTTAGTCCAGACACTCTCAGATCTAAATCAACAGTTAAACTGTGTTAGTCAAGCTAAACAACACTGTACTGTTAATCAACTGTAACAGACATGTGACATCCCCATCACAGCTAAACAACACTGTACTGTTAATCAACTGTAACAGACATGTGACATCCCCATCACAGCTAAACAACACTGTACTGTTAATCAACTGTAACAGACATGTGACATCCCCATCACAGCTAAACAACACTGTACTGTTAATCAACTGTAACAGACATGTGACATCCCCATCACAGCTAAACAACACTGTACTGTTAATCAACTGTAACAGACATGTGACATCCCCATCACAGCTAAACAACACTGTACTGTTAATCAACTGTAACAGACATGTGACATCCCCATCACAGCTAAACAACACTGTACTGTTAATCAACTGTAACAGACATGTGACATCCCCATCACAGCTAAACAACACTGTACTGTTAATCAACTGTAACAGACATGTGACATCCCCATCACAGCTAAACAACACTGTACTGTTAATCAACTGTAACAGACATGTGACATCCCCATCACAGCTAAACAACACTGTACTGTTAATCAACTGTAACAGACATGTGACATCCCCATCACAGCTAAACAACACTGTACTGTTAATCAACTGTAACAGACATGTGACATCCCCATCACAGCTAAACAACACTGTACTGTTAATCAACTGTAACAGACATGTGACATCCCCATCACAGCTAAACAACACTGTACTGTTAATCAACTGTAACAGACATGTGACATCCCCATCACAGCTAAACAACACTGTACTGTTAATCAACTGTAACAGACATGTGACATCCCCATCACAGCTAAACAACACTGTACTGTTAATCAACTGTAACAGACATGTGACATCCCCATCACAGCTAAACAACACTGTACTGTTAATCAACTGTAACAGACATGTGACATCCCCATCACAGCTAAACAACACTGTACTGTTAATCAACTGTAACAGACATGTGACATCCCCATCACAGCTAAACAACACTGTACTGTTAATCAACTGTAACAGACATGTGACATCCCCATCACAGCTAAACAACACTGTACTGTTAATCAACTGTAACAGACATGTGACATCCCCATCACAGCTAAACAACACTGTACTGTTAATCAACTGTAACAGACATGTGACATCCCCATCACAGCTAAACAACACTGTACTGTTAATCAACTGTAACAGACATGTGACATCCCCATCACAGCTAAACAACACTGTACTGTTAATCAACTGTAACAGACATGTGACATCCCCATCACAGCTAAACAACACTGTACTGTTAATCAACTGTAACAGACATGTGACATCCCCATCACAGCTAAACAACACTGTACTGTTAATCAACTGTAACAGACATGTGACATCCCCATCACAGCTAAACAACACTGTACTGTTAATCAACTGTAACAGACATGTGACATCCCCATCACAGCTAAACAACACTGTACTGTTAATCAACTGTAACAGACATGTGACATCCCCATCACAGCTAAACAACACTGTACTGTTAATCAACTGTAACAGACATGTGACATCCCCATCACAGCTAAACAACACTGTACTGTTAATCAACTGTAACAGACATGTGACATCCCCATCACAGCTAAACAACACTGTACTGTTAATCAACTGTAACAGACATGTGACATCCCCATCACAGCTAAACAACACTGTACTGTTAATCAACTGTAACAGACATGTGACATCCCCATCACAGCTAAACAACACTGTACTGTTAATCAACTGTAACAGACATGTGACATCCCCATCACAGCTAAACAACACTGTACTGTTAATCAACTGTAACAGACATGTGACATCCCCATCACAGCTAAACAACACTGTACTGTTAATCAACTGTAACAGACATGTGACATCCCCATCACAGCTAAACAACACTGTACTGTTAATCAACTGTAACAGACATGTGACATCCCCATCACAGCTAAACAACACTGTACTGTTAATCAACTGTAACAGACATGTGACATCCCCATCACAGCTAAACAACACTGTACTGTTAATCAACTGTAACAGACATGTGACATCCCCATCACAGCTAAACAACACTGTACTGTTAATCAACTGTAACAGACATGTGACATCCCCATCACAGCTAAACAACACTGTACTGTTAATCAACTGTAACAGACATGTGACATCCCCATCACAGCTAAACAACACTGTACTGTTAATCAACTGTAACAGACATGTGACATCCCCATCACAGCTAAACAACACTGTACTGTTAATCAACTGTAACAGACATGTGACATCCCCATCACAGCTAAACAACACTGTACTGTTAATCAACTGTAACAGACATGTGACATCCCCATCACAGCTAAACAACACTGTACTGTTAATCAACTGTAACAGACATGTGACATCCCCATCACAGCTAAACAACACTGTACTGTTAATCAACTGTAACAGACATGTGACATCCCCATCACAGCTAAACAACACTGTACTGTTAATCAACTGTAACAGACATGTGACATCCCCATCACAGCTAAACAACACTGTACTGTTAATCAACTGTAACAGACATGTGACATCCCCATCACAGCTAAACAACACTGTACTGTTAATCAACTGTAACAGACATGTGACATCCCCATCACAGCTAAACAACACTGTACTGTTAATCAACTGTAACAGACATGTGACATCCCCATCACAGCTAAACAACACTGTACTGTTAATCAACTGTAACAGACATGTGACATCCCCATCACAGCTAAACAACACTGTACTGTTAATCAACTGTAACAGACATGTGACATCCCCATCACAGCTAAACAACACTGTACTGTTAATCAACTGTAACAGACATGTGACATCCCCATCACAGCTAAACAACACTGTACTGTTAATCAACTGTAACAGACATGTGACATCCCCATCACAGCTAAACAACACTGTACTGTTAATCAACTGTAACAGACATGTGACATCCCCATCACAGCTAAACAACACTGTACTGTTAATCAACTGTAACAGACATGTGACATCCCCATCACAGCTAAACAACACTGTACTGTTAATCAACTGTAACAGACATGTGACATCCCCATCACAGCTAAACAACACTGTACTGTTAATCAACTGTAACAGACATGTGACATCCCCATCACAGCTAAACAACACTGTACTGTTAATCAACTGTAACAGACATGTGACATCCCCATCACAGCTAAACAACACTGTACTGTTAATCAACTGTAACAGACATGTGACATCCCCATCACAGCTAAACAACACTGTACTGTTAATCAACTGTAACAGACATGTGACATCCCCATCACAGCTAAACAACACTGTACTGTTAATCAACTGTAACAGACATGTGACATCCCCATCACAGCTAAACAACACTGTACTGTTAATCAACTGTAACAGACATGTGACATCCCCATCACAGCTAAACAACACTGTACTGTTAATCAACTGTAACAGACATGTGACATCCCCATCACAGCTAAACAACACTGTACTGTTAATCAACTGTAACAGACATGTGACATCCCCATCACAGCTAAACAACACTGTACTGTTAATCAACTGTAACAGACATGTGACATCCCCATCACAGCTAAACAACACTGTACTGTTAATCAACTGTAACAGACATGTGACATCCCCATCACAGCTAAACAACACTGTACTGTTAATCAACTGTAACAGACATGTGACATCCCCATCACAGCTAAACAACACTGTACTGTTAATCAACTGTAACAGACATGTGACATCCCCATCACAGCTAAACAACACTGTACTGTTAATCAACTGTAACAGACATGTGACATCCCCATCACAGCTAAACAACACTGTACTGTTAATCAACTGTAACAGACATGTGACATCCCCATCACAGCTAAACAACACTGTACTGTTAATCAACTGTAACAGACATGTGACATCCCCATCACAGCTAAACAACACTGTACTGTTAATCAACTGTAACAGACATGTGACATCCCCATCACAGCTAAACAACACTGTACTGTTAATCAACTGTAACAGACATGTGACATCCCCATCACAGCTAAACAACACTGTACTGTTAATCAACTGTAACAGACATGTGACATCCCCATCACAGCTAAACAACACTGTACTGTTAATCAACTGTAACAGACATGTGACATCCCCATCACAGCTAAACAACACTGTACTGTTAATCAACTGTAACAGACATGTGACATCCCCATCACAGCTAAACAACACTGTACTGTTAATCAACTGTAACAGACATGTGACATCCCCATCACAGCTAAACAACACTGTACTGTTAATCAACTGTAACAGACATGTGACATCCCCATCACAGCTAAACAACACTGTACTGTTAATCAACTGTAACAGACATGTGACATCCCCATCACAGCTAAACAACACTGTACTGTTAATCAACTGTAACAGACATGTGACATCCCCATCACAGCTAAACAACACTGTACTGTTAATCAACTGTAACAGACATGTGACATCCCCATCACAGCTAAACAACACTGTACTGTTAATCAACTGTAACAGACATGTGACATCCCCATCACAGCTAAACAACACTGTACTGTTAATCAACTGTAACAGACATGTGACATCCCCATCACAGCTAAACAACACTGTACTGTTAATCAACTGTAACAGACATGTGACATCCCCATCACAGCTAAACAACACTGTACTGTTAATCAACTGTAACAGACATGTGACATCCCCATCACAGCTAAACAACACTGTACTGTTAATCAACTGTAACAGACATGTGACATCCCCATCACAGCTAAACAACACTGTACTGTTAATCAACTGTAACAGACATGTGACATCCCCATCACAGCTAAACAACACTGTACTGTTAATCAACTGTAACAGACATGTGACATCCCCATCACAGCTAAACAACACTGTACTGTTAATCAACTGTAACAGACATGTGACATCCCCATCACAGCTAAACAACACTGTACTGTTAATCAACTGTAACAGACATGTGACATCCCCATCACAGCTAAACAACACTGTACTGTTAATCAACTGTAACAGACATGTGACATCCCCATCACAGCTAAACAACACTGTACTGTTAATCAACTGTAACAGACATGTGACATCCCCATCACAGCTAAACAACACTGTACTGTTAATCAACTGTAACAGACATGTGACATCCCCATCACAGCTAAACAACACTGTACTGTTAATCAACTGTAACAGACATGTGACATCCCCATCACAGCTAAACAACACTGTACTGTTAATCAACTGTAACAGACATGTGACATCCCCATCACAGCTAAACAACACTGTACTGTTAATCAACTGTAACAGACATGTGACATCCCCATCACAGCTAAACAACACTGTACTGTTAATCAACTGTAACAGACATGTGACATCCCCATCACAGCTAAACAACACTGTACTGTTAATCAACTGTAACAGACATGTGACATCCCCATCACAGCTAAACAACACTGTACTGTTAATCAACTGTAACAGACATGTGACATCCCCATCACAGCTAAACAACACTGTACTGTTAATCAACTGTAACAGACATGTGACATCCCCATCACAGCTAAACAACACTGTACTGTTAATCAACTGTAACAGACATGTGACATCCTCATCACAGCTAAACAACAGTGTACTGTTAATCAACTGTAATAGACATGTGACATCCTCATCACAGCTAAACAACACTGTACTGTTATATACTGTAACAGACATGTGACATCCCCATCACAGTTAAACAACAGTGTACTGTTAATCAACTGTAACAGACATGTGACATCCCCATCACAGCTAAACAACAGTGTACTGTTAATCAACTGTAACAGACATATGGCAACCTCATGACAGCTAAACACTCATTATTTTCTGATTTAAGTGAAAACAAAACTCTAAATAAATAATAAACTGTAAATTGCTGTTTATTAAAACTTATCAAAAACAGATCTGTTAATTTGTTTTAATTAAATTTGTGTTGCATTTGTATAAAATAATTCATGCAGTCTATTTTATATTGAAATTTAAAAGAATATTACACAATCATGTTTTCAGGTCAAATTGAAATTTAATAAGGCAAGACAACAGCATTTATTTCCAATGTACATCCATATGGTGACTTAAGGGATTACATATTGGCAGTGCATTTTTTTTACTGTTGATATCATGTACACAAGAAATTGTAATAATCACCTTTTCCTCATATCAATGTTTATTTTACATGAATCATTCAATAGCAGATAAAACATACAAGAATTTTGCGTAATTATATGTGTCGCCTGTCCCGCTTTGTCAATATATTAAGCATTTGACATAGTATATAAGGAAACGGACCTAAACGCAAAATCATAACATTGATTTTTTTTAAAGTCCAGAAATTGGAGTTTTTTACCAAAAAAATGCAGAAATCAATGTAATGTTTTTAGTGCAGTAGGCTCCACTACCCATGCTACATCTATGATCAAGGTTTTGTTCGTGTAGCTTTGTCAGAAACAGAACTAAAGGCAAAACCTTAACATTGTTGACGCCGCCGTTGGAAAAGCAATGCCTATGTGTCTTTCCAACATCCGTTGTAGGCGACACAAAAATGAGGTTTGCAGTCAAGAAACTTTTAAACACATTAGAAGAATCAATATCTCAATCTTAATTGGAAAATGAAGCATACAATGCAATGCAAATATATGTTTTAAAAATTTAATGAGCTTAAATTGACCTTTCTTCTGTTTAATAACTAAATAAAACTAGCTGCATGGTAAGGTCTAAGAATCGGTTAATTCAAAAATCCCTCTAAAAGGCAACTCAAGCTACTTACTAAGAATCAAGTTAATAAAATGGCATAGCATAATAAAAGGTTATGCATACTGATGAACACTAAAACATACAAGCACCAAGGAAATCAGGTTAACCAAATTATATAAACAGACTTCAACATGTAATATGTATATTAAAATCTAAGAAACTAACATATCATTCTATTTTTTATATGCTATCAATACAGGCAAGAATAAAAAAAAAACAGGCCTACTACATATCAATCATCCATATTCTAATATTAGTTAACAATCGTATATCAACTCCACATCCTTGCGACAAGTTTCTACCTAATTATAACCATTTGTCCTTTTACTATTGGCTAATTAAGCTTTTAAGGTTTAATGTAACATAGCTTTACATTTACTGCTTATATACATATAACAAAATCACAGAGTCACCTAGGTAGCTGAATGCTTTTTTCTTAAAATCCAATCATCAAAAGTTGTTAATTAATTTCAAATTCAAACTTTCAAGATCCATTCACAAGCTTTAAACTCAGCAAGCGCATCTTCTGACATGGATGTCCTCATCAAATATATACATGGGCAATCAATGGCACTCGCAGGTAAGATTTAATTCCTTGTTTTTCCTTTTCAGATCATATCTGTTGTTATTCTTTGGCTTTTCATGACATTGAAGTGATATGATTCATGAGTGTACAACATTAGTCAAGTCTGCAGAACTCGTCCTCCTCCTTCTCCCACAGCCTGGACTATAATATAACAGCATCCTCAGATAAAATATCCTCTGATGTAGCCGTATTATCCAGTTTTAATTGACTGATTAAAGGGGTCTGCTCCGTAGACATAATATGCTATGGTCTGAAGCAGTAGTCTGATGTGTCCAGGTAACACAGAACAACTGGTGTACACACACATGGCTATCACTGCAACCAACATGGAATCTGAAACGTTGTTAAGGTAAACTGTTATAAAACAAGATGTATCAGTATACATATTTTATTGATGACTTTTACCTCATTTTGACATCCTACAGTAATGTTGACCTTTGGTCCGGAAAGTAGCATGTACAGTAAGTGTTCAGTGATCATACCAATGATAACCAAGTTGACTAAAATATCTAATATGCAGTTTACTAGAATTTTAATTCACTCAGTTTGTAACATCTTTTTTGACTGAACAATGAACATTTTACATGTATTTTATGAAAATAAGCCTCAAACTGTCCATTATGTAGTGGAAGAAAGGACAGGTCATGCCTAGGCCCGTAAAAAGAACATTTTCCAGTGAAATTCTTATAAACAATATCATTGATTACACTGCCACACCAAGTTTTTGTGTCAATGCTTATACATGTACAGTAAAGTGGAACTGGACCAGATTGATGGAGATTTTGTTGACAACCAGGAAGCTCAATTAGTAGAGCGTCCACCTTATAGAGTTTGGGTGGAGGGGTCCCGGGTTCAAACCCTGGTCTGGCCAATTTGGTCATGCATTTTTCCATCTTCTGTACACATGTTACAGTGGTGCCGTGCCTGAGACCAACCCTTGTTTCAAGCATAGGGGTGTTGTGAATAGTTTTCTTTGGGGGCCTCAGTTGATCGCCGGCGACCATGTAGCTGAGCCCAATTGGTAGAGCGTCTGTCCAGAGTTTGGAGGGTCCCTGAGGTTTGAACCCAAGTCTGGCCGTGCATTTTACAATCAACAAAAAAACTTAAAGATGTATAGTCCTGTCTATGTTCTCCTATGTAAGTCCTATCACAGACTTAGACTAATCTAATTCTGTGGTCCTATTAAGATACACATGTCACAACAAAGGCCATAAGCTTTGCAGCTGTTCATCCATCTTCACTAGCCAATTGTATCATGATCATTGATGTCCTCAATTTGATGGATTTTATAATGATACACATGAAGACTTTTTACACGTTTGATTGACTGAGAAACACTATAAGTATGTGACATGCTGTCGATAGCAAAAATTGGAATTCATCATTACTACCACGGACTTAGATAATCTAATTCCGTGTTATCATGGTTATTACGTAATCTATTTTTACAAAATGTAACTAATTATTGTCATGGTATAAACATATGGTCTGGAGCTTATGTTGCCTGCTTAATGGATTATTTTGAGACATACTATCAGCCTGAAGACCCTTTATGAAAAGTAGAGTCATGTACACACAAGACACGCCGTTGATCGTCAATTTTGAATTAGGCCTAACCAGAACTATTTTTTTTACCTGGACATCGATCGATACTTTTAATTTTCCCTAAAATCCTTCTCTATAACTGTCCACGAGAAGATCGAAAAGTGCTTAAGTCATAATTGTTAGGCAAATTGTCGTCTTGTAGAAAAGTATCATTAAACCAGTCCAGAGATTGATGAAAAATACGTCCCAACGAATAAACAGGTTGGGCACAAAGGCGCATATGGGTAATAATCCTGCATTTGGGTAACATCTTTGTATGTTATGGTTGAATGCACATTGAATCTACTTTCACTATCCTATATAAAAAATCAAATTTTGTACTTCACTTACGTTATTGAAAATCCCCATATCTATTGGTTATTTCAAACAACTTTTGGTTGAACAGTTTTCGGTTTTGAAAGTATTTCACGACCTTTGAAGCCTTAGAAGAGTCAGGACATCTAAAATCACGAAAATGTCAAAATACGAAAAAACGTTCAACCAAAATTTGTTTATAATAACCATATAAATAGCGATTTTTAATAAAGATAGTGAAGTACAAAATTTTGATTTTTTATATAGGATAGTGAACGTAGATTCGAAGTGCATTCAACCATAACATACAAAGATGTTACCCAAATGCAGGATTATTACCCATATGCGCCGTTGTGCCCAACCTGATCGATGTCTATATTCGGGTGCGGTTTCGTCTAAACCCATAACGGGTTTTCTATGAAAAGGATACTGAACGTCCGTACTTCCATTGGTTCCAACATGTATAGTGATGTTACTAATGTGTATTGTAGGTAGAAATATCGAATGGACGCCTTTATCCTTTCAAAAACCATCGTGGATAATCTGTTAGGTATGTTGATGTTGTCAAATTGCTTCAGGATGTAACATCAGTTGTTAGTCGTTGTCACAAGAATGTTTGAGTAGTACTGTTGCATTCAAGCGCTTAAATGATTTAATCACTTCAATTTATATTGTCGTCACNGGATAGCGAGGTAACATAAGTGGAAGTGCATACAATACATACATTCATTAAAAAAAAAAACGCCTTTTCACGTGATGTCCCTTTAAGATTGTCGAAACGAAAAGTGAAGCATCGATTCCTTTGACCAGAAATAGAATGATTTTAGTTCAAACTGATGAATGCTAGTCTTTTCGGTAACAACTCGTTTCGGGAGTCCTGACGTCGTTTCGGGACTTACTCGAGTCGTTTCGGGACATATTAAAAATATAATCAAAATATAAATGAATGTTACATGTTACTTTTCTCTTTCCTTTGTAAAATCTGTGTAAACACAGCTTTCGTCGTAGCCTATTAGCAATGACGTCACGATTTATGTGTACACAAGAGCCGACAGTTACCTGATTGACAACATGTTGTTAATTTGATGAAACTAATCCAGAGGAACGAAAACCAAGTACCGAACGCGCGCTCAATATCAATTAATCAATCAATTATTTTTACATATTTTTTTTCGTTATTGAAGGTTCCTTGTCTGATATCGTGATAACATGTTTTAATTTTACTCTTTTCCCTATTAATGTGGCCAACTTGATCAAGTTTCCCTTTTTACAAAAGTACTAATTTGACAGTAAATTCTGCACATAAAAGGTACAAAATTTTACAATGTAGACTATAGTAGGGTGTGTCTGCATTATCACACATTTTCTGTCTTTATCAAATCTCTGCAATAAAGAGGACAACAACAAATGTTTTATTCTATTTTTATATCATATAACAAGTAATATACAATATAAAAATGTATACCATATACATATAACAAAGTTTGTAACAATAAATAATTATAAACAAATTAACACATAAAAAAAACCAAAGGTAACAATATGATATACATTTTTGTATAAAAATTGAATTGGGCTGGTGAATGTTGGCGTGACATTCAACTACCTCTGATGCGATTCTTAAGGGGCGGAGATATTAAATACATGTGCATTCTCTTTGGCTCGGGATAGGGCCTAACATTTAAGAACATGATTGCAGTTACAATAAATGATATATTTCACATTTTTTACCTGATATTAACAGTCGAAATTTCCTATGTAAAATAATTTTGCAAGTTACATCTCACAACTTGAATTTAATGCAAGTTGTTTTTTGGCTAGAATATGGCCCATATAATTACCTCTGCACGGATCGTGATTGAAGTGAGGATTCCAAGTTCGCCGGGATGAATGTGTTGTTTTCTGCCCTCGGTGTAGGTCTCACATCTCTGTATAACTTGTATACATTATTAAAGTTGTCAAATTTCAAACAATTTATATTTTGATAGGGTTTATTTCAGTTTCTAAGTTTAGTTACCTGAACAGTGTAGCTGTAACCTTTGCTATCTACAAGCGTCTTGTTGCCACGCTTGGTCCCGTTGTCTACCTCATGGTATGTTGTTAGCTGATCATCGGTAGGTTCCACATCATCCAGTGCTGATGTGTCCAGTGGCAAGGAATCCTCCTGTGTTGGCATAACATCTCTGAAGGACGTTGATGTGAGAATCTTTTATGACTCTTGCTGATATATTCAAGCAATCTTCCTACTGTATGTATATGTTTAATTCTTAATAACTACAATTTTAACTAAATTAAAGTGATCTCTTACAGCAATTTGATACAATTTCACTTACACATGAGTATGATATGTTTACTCCTATTGTTTCTGATCATTAATTATAAAATTAGTCTCTTTAAATCTAGATAGCAAACATTCTATTAGCTTGTTTTCATCAATGATATAAGATGTTGTAATATAACCCATCCAAGGGAGATAAGTTCCTGATTGCTTCGTTAATTCTACCAAGTTATATAATTACCTCCCTTTATTAGTCAAACACAAATTTGTTTTGTTTTGTTTCAGAATTCCTATTATATGGATTTTATTCATGGACTTAATACATCAGATGTGACATAAATAACGCCACCATAATCTTTCACACAGTTTAAGTCTTCAATTTTTTGACAAGAAGAGGTTTAAAAAGGGGAAAGTTATTTTATTGATTAAAACAGTTATGAAAATATCTTGTAACACAACGAATCTTAAAAATTAAGTCTGTGCGACGCACATCTCGTCAACTAAACTCATTAGCTGAGGCCTGTTGGTTGTGATTTAGTGTGAATGCATTACATACAAAGAATTAACATTAAGAATTAAAAACATCTCGCGGAAGCTATGTCTACCATCATGATTCAGGAAGACGAATAATTCCTTTCACATGATGTTGTCTCTCTCTTTACCAACACACTCATTGGCGATGCACTTAGAATCAATCGAAACCGCTTATAATTAGACAGATAATAGCGCAAAAACACAACCCTCCAGATTCAGGATAATGGATTTGCTGGAATTTGTGCTGACAATCCACATATTTTAGTTTCCGAAACAACATCTATCAACAACGCTTCGGCACTGCTATGGGTAGTCCCAGTGTCTCCCATTGTGGCCAATTTGTTCATGGAACATCTGGAGCAAGAATAAATAGCCACTGCCCCCATAGAATGCAAGCCTAGCTTATGGAAACGTTATGTTGACGACATACTTGAGATACTCAAGAAGGGTCACAGAAGGGTTTGACCACACATATCAACACCATAGATGACACTTACAACATCAAATTACATGTGAGGAAGAAACCAACGGCACAATGCCCTGCCTAGACACTCTACTGGTAAAGAAAGAAGACAGAACCGTGAAGCCTCAAGGTATTGGTATATAGGAAAAAAGACCCATACGGACCAATACCTGAGCTTCAAATCTCACCATCGTTTACACCAGAAGTTAGGCGTCGTACGCACATTGCTCAACAGATGAGAACATGTGCATATCCGGAATGGGCCCTAAAACGAGTTCCAAAAACAGTGTCAAAGTAAGGAGAAGAACAAGAAAAGGCCAATCAAGGATAAGAACAAAACCAAATTTCAAGTGGTCATCCCATATATAAAGGGTATATCCAAACTCATTCAGAGAATATATCGCGATCATGACATAGCAACAGCCATGAAGCCCCACAAGACGCTTCGCAATATCCTAGTACATCCTGAGGATAAAACACTTATATGTGTATAGTTTAGAAAAAAAATCAACCAGTATCTTTTAAAAAGTATTGTTTGCGTCTTCTTAAGACACTTTAATCAAAACATCATCTAGAAATGTTCTAGATTTATATTTGAAAATTATTTGATGTCGGTCTGAAAGTACTGCTGTACAATCGCATGATGATTGTATGTAGAGACTGACAGTTACCAAAGACTAATTTTTACATGAAAAAGTAGAGTAAATTAACAACACATGGCCTCTGTTGAATACGTTTTCAAGCCCAAAAAATCGTCCCAACTTGTCAGATGTTTCCCGTTGACGTGCAAGATGATCAGAGATGTACAAACTATCCAAAAGTCGGGGGAGGGGAAGACAACAGCTGAAAGCCATGGACCCTCTCATCCGGACCCGATGAAAAATCGAATTTTGGGCACCGATTTGGAAGTTTATATTTGTTCAGGCCTGAGTCTTTATTGCGATTCATGTAAATTGATCTTATATTAGCCGATCCCAGCCATCTTACTCAAACAGCATTAACCAGTTTCTTCAAGTTATCGAAAATTAACTAACACAAGTAAGAAAAACATTTATTTGAATGTTAATCATTGTTACACACACACATTTTGAGCTGTTCGTATCTGTACGACTTGTGTAACAACAACATGCAAAATATTACATTGAAACACTTACATTACTTGTAAATTAGTTAAATGTTTGAAGGTGGCGAAACTGCCTGTACCTTTGAGCAAAACCACGGAAGGCCTGATGACGTCACAAATGTTCTTTTGTACTGGTGCTCGTCGGCATTTTGATAATGTGTTTTTGGACAAATTATAACCTAAAACCCTTACTAATATGACGAAATTGTCTACACTAACGTTACTGTATTTCTGCATTATAAATTAATTTTAGATGCCATACATTTTCATATGTTACAATAACAAAATGACAAAGCATGCATATTAGCGAATGTAAGCACGGACTTTAGATTGCTATCTAAGTCCGTGGTGTAAGGGGGCTGTACAAGTTCAACTTGTATGGGATGAAATCGGAAGACGCCTGCGAGCTTTCATTGGGCACATCCAAAATAAGACGCGAGAACGAGGAACATCCTCCACACGTGAAGAGATGGACCGGGTGACGTAAACACTCTTTATCCCTCAATGTATTGATCAGACCCCTGTGGGTTGGGCGCACCGAATCAACACATGTATCAACTGCATTGGAGTGTGAGCGGCGGGGGAGTCTGCATGGGTAGTCTGAGGAGTGGCAGGGGGAGTCTGGGGAGTGGCGGGGAGTCTGGGGAGTGGCAGGGAGTCTAAGGAGTGGTGGGGGAGTCTGAGTAGGGTGTGTGTGGGTTGTTTGTCGAGGACAACCCGATGTGTAACACGACAGAAGGTTCATTGCTATAAAACGATGCCAACACTTTATAAAACACACACATATACATATGATCAAGGCAAACACTTCTTCTGAACTATTAGACATTTGAATTGAATTCATGGAGAAGTTAAGGATATCAGGTCCAGCGTTAGTCAAACTCAACGACAGACTTGCTCGCATTGAGAATACTTAATAACTGACCGTTTAATGCAAGGACGAAGTGCGCATGCCCTTTGTCCACTGACAAAACTACATGGTGATGACTACGATTTGAGAAGCAAAATGGACACTTAACACGTTCTGATATTGTACAAGGACCGTAACTGAAGTCCCCCAAACTGCTACTAGATTTGGAAAGGACGCACAAGAAAGACCTCCCAATACCATAATAAATAATAAACAGACGATATATATGTAAATTTCAAGCATTAATAATCCAGGTGATGATGGGCATCTTCGGAGTTATGTTTGCAGTGTTATTACTTACTATACACCTATATACATATATATTTAA